GCACCTTGCACGTGGAAAGCATTCAATAATTATCTACAGAATAAATGAACCTTTCAAATTTTTTTTCTGTAAGATAAATTCAAATTCCAAAAGTAAATAAATAATAATGACGCAAGCTAAACAACATATACTGCACGAGAATTTGATTAACAAATATCTCTGTATATATGAAGCGATTTTTTTTTTCAGTTTAAGTACTAAAACTGGATCTTTGAATAGCTTGGATGTCAAAAGCACAACTGCCTTTCAAAAACAAAAAACAAAAAACGCCAAAACCAATGATTGAAGTGGCCACAGGTCAGCATCTTCCCTTCTAGATAGGATTTCCCACTGCACGTTCACATGACTTCTGCAGTCAGCAAAGCTAGTTTTACAGAAGAGACTAATCCAGGACCAAAGTGATGACTTTCAACCCAATATGCAGTTATTTTGGGGACAGAAAAAATTCAGTTGAGAGACCACCGACGCCTTCTAATGCTCTCCAGACGCAGCCCTTTCTCCCTCAGCCTCCTTGCTCCGTGCACAGCAGCCCAGGAAGCTGCTCTCTTTTCATGGCTGTTATGGCTCCCTCCCCTGTTCATCTTTTTTTCAAAAGGTTCTGGGTATATTTCCAGACACCACCTCCAGGGATGGGGGAGGGAACTGCAATAACATTTGCAGTTTTTTAAATAAAAAAGAGAGGAGGCTGTGGCAAGATAGAAATGTGTTTCTTAAGCACCCTAAGAACTGAATTAATAGTCATAATCCCACCTTACATTAATACAGCTCATCAGTCACCTAAAGCTTAGCAAAATCTTTCCCATCTAAAAATATTAGACTGTGTTGCAAGCAGCTTATGAATCAGTGCAACATCTCATCTCTCAAATAATGAATATCATCCATAATTGAAGTGGGCAGAATGTTAACTCAAGCCACGACATGGATGGGTAACTGTCTATTCTTGTAGCTCTTTGATATTTTCACTGCTTATAAACAAGGTGGTCCAGCAACACACAGATGCATAATAACCTTGTCTTCTCTCCCACCCCAAAACCTACATGCTGAGGAGACCCTGCATCGCAACTGTGGAGCTGCTCTGCCAGTTCCCACCAGGCCTGCTAGCTGCACAGCTAGCTTTGTCTTCCTCCTGGTGAAGTACCTCCTGGAGTGCTGTTCACCTTTCATATTATAAATAAAAACACTGTTGCCCAAAGCAATTTTTGGACAAGTTCCCTCTCTAGTAAAACCAGATCTCAATAACAGTCTTCTAACTGAGCTGGCCTCACTGCATGTATACCAAATATGATTAGTTAGGTAAAAACAAAATCCAAAGACTGCAAAGCCGTTCCATTTACTTCTCA